TTCCGTCTGTCTGCCTATTGGCCTTTTCTGGTTCGCCTGGACCAACGATCCTAGCATCCACTGGATGGCCAGCATTGCTGCCGGTGTCCCCTTCGGATTCGGCATGGTTCTTGTCTTCCTCAGTGTTATGAACTATCTCATTGACTCCTACACCATCTTCGCCGCCTCCGTCCTGGCTGCCAACTCGGTTCTCCGATCTCTCTTCGGTGCCGCATTCCCTCTCTTCACCTCTTACATGTACCAAGACCTCGGCATTCACTGGGCTTCTTCAGTCCCTGCTTTCCTCGCTCTGGCTTGCGTTCCCTTCCCTTTCCTCTTTTACAAGTACGGTGCTTCCATCCGTGAGAAGTGCAAGTTTGCCGCTCAATCCGCTGCTTTCATGCGCAAGCTTCAAAACGACGCTGCTCCCTCATCCGAGGAGGAGAAGAATGACGAGACTGTTCCAGAGGAGGAGAACTTCGACGACGATGCCTCAACTGAGGTTGAGGAGCCTGCCTACGCTCCTATCACTGCTAGCAGGACACACCACTCTGTACGATCGCACGCCTCTCGTGCATCGCGCGCGTCACGGGCTTCAATGGCCTCGCGTCGCAGGTCATATGAGGGCAACCCTTACGACATCGACAGAGTCAACACCAAGCAATCATTCACATAATCATCTCATAAAAGTTATTACTGGGGCTGGAAACCCGAAAATTAATTGGTGGCATCATAGCGTTTAATTTTACTATAGACTTTACTTCAATTTATTTAATACCCAATTCATGTATCAATGCCATTCATTGCAGTTAGCCCTTGAAACTTTGTGAGATTATCGCCGTGATGTATTTGTGACAGAATGAGATTGTCGCTGGCCGTCCACAAATTTGAAGTCATCCGGGTCGCATTCACCAATGGTAGCTCTGGTCGCGACCCCGAGCCGTTGAACGCCGCCGCTCGATGGTTAATCGAAGCCGATCAACCGTAAAGAAGTTTCTAGGCTTTTGCGCTTTAGTTGAAAGAAGGCGAGCCTCTCACCCCATACGCGATTCTGCGTCCATGACCTTCGAACTGCGATCCAATTCTTGCAGGGACAGCGAGCTCGAGAACATAATACCCCGGTACTCCAGATGAGTCATCAAAAGTCTCGGTTCCGTGGTCTAGTTGGTTATGGCATCTCGTTAACACCGAGAAGGTCCCCGGTTCGATCCCGGGCGGAACCACGTTTTTTGGCCATCATTTCGTTTGATGCTCATTATTTTTGCTGAACCGTACCTCTACTTGAGGTCACTAACAATGAGACACGTCACTTGGAAATATTGAAAGCCTTCAGATGGTGGAAACATCCTTCTTTATCTATAACTTCACCTCGATCCTGTAGGTTCTCCAGGTGGTTTCGCTAATACGCATGCTTCCTTATCTAAACTTGGTTCTCCTGGACATCAACACTTATCGCTCTGCTGAGCCTCACTTGCTGCCTCACTACTGACTTCCTCCACCTTCACTGGCTTTGGTTTGATGAAAACAGCCGACACAAGCATCAGTCCGCACAAAGCAGTGTAGAATGCCCACATAACACGTAAACCACTGACATACCCATGCTTGTCAGTCTCACCCTGCGCCTTGTCACTAGACACAGCAGTCAAGTTGCCACCGTGAACAGTACGCTGGATAAAGACCGTTCCAACAACAATTGATATCGAGACAAAAAGGCCACGCATAAAAGTGTACGCTGACATAGTCGCCGCCATATCTCTCTGGCGGACATGCGTTTGAAGAGCGATCATAGGGTTCTGGAAGAGTACACCGCAGCCGAGACCTGCGATAACCTCTGCTATGACTAGCTTAGGCCATTCCTTGCGTTGACCAAGGCTAATGAAGAGACCGATTCCCAAAGTCATCAGCGCGGCACCCACCAAGATAATAAGCTTGTAGTTGCCGGTTTTTCTCACGACCAGTCCCCCGACACCAGTTGAGATAGACATCGGGAGGATCAGAGGGAAAAGCGTGACTCCGGATATGATTGGCGAAAAGCCCAGAACGACTTGGAAGTACAGCGGCAAGAAGTAATCGCAAGCAATGAAAATGAACGAGTGAAGGTTGGCGACGGCAAAGGCGGCGATATTGGTGGTGCTCTGGAAGATTCTGATAGGAATGATGGGATTTTTCGCAAACTTCGCTTCCCAGACCATGAAGAGTGCCAAGATGACGACTCCAAAGACCAAGAGGCAGATAACAAACGCAGAGTTCCAGGGCGCAAGTCCACCTGAGCCAGCTTCAAGTCCGTAAAGGAAGCAAATTGTGCCGCCAATGATGAACGCAAATCCAGGCCAGTCGAGGCTGCGAAGTCCGTCAACGAGAGGTTCCTTCTCGATGTCGACCTTGAGCAAGAAGAACAGCCCAATCAGTGCAATACCCTCAAAGGGTAAGTTGATGTAGACTGGTAATGTCAGCAGCTATCTCCAAAGGGGTATGCGGTGTCAACCTACAGCACCATCTCCATGTCACTGTCTGAGAGAAGACACCACCCAGCACAGGTCCAATGGCTCCAGCCACGCCAAACACTATTCCCGTTATGCCGTAGTATTTGGCACGATCTTTCAGAGGAAACAGATCTCCGATCAGAATAGTTATTAGCACCATACAGCCGCCACCTTAGTCCAGTTAGCGGGCTGAAGTCGTGTTTGATAGAAAGTGCTTACCTCCAAGACCCTGGACAGTTCTTCCTCCGATTAACATGCCACTTGAGCTCGCCAAAGCACAAATGAGACTCCCGGCCATGAAAAGACCAGTGGAAGTCATCATGCTAACCTTTCGACCGACGATGTCAGACACCTTTGCCCATACAGGCGTCACCGCTGTCGTGGACAGGGTGTACGAGGATCCAATCCAGGCATATTCGCGAGCTGATACATGTAGTTCTTTACCAATAGTCGGAAGTGCCGTTGCCAAGATAGTAGTATCCAATGCACAGAGGAACAGCGTCAAACAAAGAGAAAGAACAACAAGACGCCGCTGAAGTGTCTTCATCGGCGGAGGCTCGTACGATGCACCCGTCTCAACGGGCTGGAGGCGCGCGCCCACAGAGTCCTTCTCGTTTGGCTGTTCATCTTGAGATGGCTGTGACTGTTGAGGCTCTGACATGATACGCGTGATGTTACAGCCGAGAAATTGATCGAACAGGAACTCGTGATTTTGTAAACAGGAGATTATTGAACGAACCACTTATTCGAGGATTAGATTGCGTTGGTTCGGCTCGCTTTCGGTTCGGGATGTAGATTCCGGGAAGGTTGCATGATCTTCGTGGTAGCGTGCCGATGAGAACGGCAATTAGGAATTGTGCGATTGGCCTGTGAGATGAGGAGAGGGGGAGAAATAGAAACTGTATTTATTCATTGTTAAAATTCGCTACGGGAGTGGATTGATTTGAACCGAGAGAGACTGAGATCTCAGTTGTCTTGGGGTCTTGTAGCGCCATGATGTGGTTACAAACGTGATGCGACGAATACTCATGACAACGAATGCTGCCACGACGCGGAAAAATTTACTTTCCGACCACGTTACTATAAGCTTACCCTGGAGTCCTAAACCGAGATAAATTATTCAAACTTTATAATGCTACTCTAAGCTAGATTTCGGATGGAAGCTTCCAACTCTATTTGGACCGCTGGGTTACCCTTGTGAACTCAATCGGAGTACTGAATTTTTAGTGCATATAGTGCGCTGTCTCCAGCATATCTCCCTCCAGCTGGCACCAGCAGATGTTGGCCCTCACCCAAGGCCAGTCAATGTGCACGGGAGAGAAGCCGCGAATTAATATGTTTGTTGGGAATCAATGCCCTGAGAAGAAGAAGATTTACTGATACTCTGGTCATCGGCAATAGTAACAAAAGGAGACGACTTGGGAAGAAGCTCATGGGCGATTGTGGAGGTCGTCGGTTTGCTGCTTGAAGCAATTGATTCTGGCTAACAGCTGATGCCTATCGTGCGTCCCCCCCCCGGCAAGGGATGACAGAAATTGAAGCATAAAAAAGAGGGACAAATAAAAAAAATCGATTCCACAACTCTAAAGGATAAATACAAAATGAGAGAATCATGTTTGGCTGGGTGGTGCTGTTGCACCGTTTTCCAGACGAGTACATGCCCGAATGTGAGAAGAGCAAACGCGCGCCAACAATGGGCAGGCGAACCAAAATAGAGGAGGATTGCAACATCTAAGCTTGAACAAAATACACAGTTTTCTGCATCCAGAACGTAAACCTTTCGCTAGGCCGGCTGACGTCTTGGTGGATGGTAATCTTCGGGCTCGCCTGCGATGCCTGTGAAGTTGCTTTCCACGCATAAATAATCCACTGATCCACCATGAGGACCCATACCATCACTATGCCCACGAATTCTACCCCGATGACCAGCGTATTTCTCACGATCTCTCAAGCGACAACTTTTTTACACATTCGGATGATAGAAATTATCCCATCTATGGTAAAATTGAAGACGCGACTGCGAGTGTCAAGAGACTGTGAACCTAGCCAGCCGCGTCGTCGGCCTTGAGAAGCATGCTCATGCTCAGGATTGGAGACTCATCAACCTCAGCAGCGCGAGCTTTCCAAGGCCCTCTTAGAGCATGCAAGAAAAAGTGACTTCGGGCAACCGATACAATTAGATAATCTTGGCGACACGTTCAGGAAAAATAAAGCCTCAAGTTTGACCAGTATTTTTGCATCTGGCCGTGAGCCTTGAGTCGCGTCTCATCTCAAATCGGCCAACCTCAGACTCTCAGCGACAGACCTACCCCTCGATTCGGTTCAGAGGGTGATCTTTTCCGAACCGAATCGAACCGAAGTTTAGCGACGACGCCTCCTCAACGACTCAAGAGCTCATCTCCAATGAAAACGAGCACAATTGAACATGACCAAGTTAACCCGGGGCCTCGAACTTCGTGGGGGCCATCTAGTCTCTATTAGGAGACCCCAGAGTCTACCCCGCGAGAAAATATTCCTTTGATCTGAAGCCGCGAAGGTCTTCCGCGATTCGGAGATCCCCAGGCATGCGGGGAACATGTTTTTAGTGCACTGTACCCCGGACACTCACTGCGATAGCGCCCTGTGTCATGGTTATCTGCGGGGGATACAAATTGTTGACGACACCCTCGGCCACCGTCTCGGAGAGACGCAGAATCTCTGACTGAGCTCACAGCCTCACTCTGTCGTTGTCAATTGAATCAAGCCTCAGGGTATTGTACTGGAGACTGAGTTGCGGGCTTGAAAGAGACTACGTCGTCGAAGAGCCTCATACGTTCATCTTGAAATATCCCAAAGTTGTCTTAATCTTTCCCATCCCCAAGGATCGCGGTCCCAAGTCTTCTACCATTGCCTACCTACCTAGCCAAAATGGATACGGTATCACAAGAACACCCTCTCTCACCGAGACCGCCGCGGTCAAAACGAGGTCGTTTATCGCTAGCTTGCACACAATGTCGCAAGCGAAAAGTGCGATGCGACGCGACAACGCCCAAGTGCCGCAATTGTGTTCTTCGCGGCGACGAGTGTGAGACCTTCGATCCGCGAAGGCCAAATGGTCCGGCTGTGCGCAAATGGCCACACAAGAGCTCACAAAGCACATCTACAATATCACCGATTCAGCGCCGAGCTTCAATTGCGACCGCGAGCCAACAGAGCTCTCCCGCGTCTTCGATCGTGGGGTCGCAACATGCAGGGAACAAAGATAGGAATCCGTCGTGGATTGAGCGCGCATACCAGGAGAGCCAGAGCACGCCCGATAGCGGTACAGATGTGCACACGAACGACAGTCCTGATGTGGTCATGAACACTGATGAGTCGTCTCATCGCATCAAGGTCAGTATTCAGGCTTCGTCTCACAGCTGCATACTAATTGAGCTTGCGTGCAGTACATGGGCTCCAGCAGCCTACAATGCCTCACCCGATTCATCGATCTTTTCCTCCAGCGGCGCGGTTTTGACCCAATTGGCAGACATTTCCGATGGGGAATGTGCTTCACAGAAGAATATGCCCTTCCATTAGTGCCAATCCTCCCAGATCTTCCCAGCATGTCAGTCATGGAGCCCTGCTTGAAGAAATACTTCAGTCGCACGCACCCTCTCGTCCCCGTCCTCGATCATACAGCCTTCATATCCGACGTTCTGCGATTTTCCGAGATGCAACAGACATCCCCGACCGGGCTACAGGGCGCGGTGACTTCAGTGGATGCGCCAGCCCTTGTCGCAGTGTACGCTGTGCTGAGCATCGGAATGGACGACCACGAAGGTCAAATATCGCCAACGGCTACTGGCTATCTTACTGGGGCTTATTCCCTAGTGAGTCACCTGCTGAGCTTCCCATATATGAGCTCAGTACAAGCGCTTGTGTTACTCGCAATTGCAATGCGTGCAAGAGGTAATTAGTTACTCATATCCTTGTCTCATCTTCATCAAATTCTTAGACCACTGAGGCTGACTATTCTTATAGGGAAGGACGGCCAATGCTGGCACCTCCTTGGCCAGGCTATACGAATTGGCTACTCAATAGGCTTCCATCGCAAGATCGTCATATCGAATCCGAACGAAGATTCCGGCAACCAAGTCGACCGACAATTACATTCCCGGGTCTGGTGGGCGTGCTATGCTTTGGAGAAGTCCATGCAATTGGAGACCGGTCGGCCGAGCGCTATTGAGATCACCGATTGTGACCAACCGTTGCCCGACAAAACCAGCGGCCTCGATCCTTGTTTCATCAGATGGGTCTCGCTCTCTTTGCTAGTCGGTAAGATTAGCGAGCACATCTTCCAGCGTAGAGCAGAGTCTGCCTTGGAGTTCCTGTCTGGCATCTCGGAGCTGGATCAGGCCCTTGTAGATTGGCTTGATGAGGCGTCGGAAGACGCAAAAGCGAATCAGAACGCCTCCAAAAGCTCAGAAGAGCGGTCATTTGCCGTTTTTCTGTCTCTTCAATTCCACCAAGTGAGTCTCTCATATCCATACGACACTTCTGTTACTAACGCATCTCCCTCAGGCTCAAATCACTCTTCTACGAGCATCTCTCCTCTTCCCCGAGGCCTCTTTCAGCAACGAAGTGCAAAAGCATGAGACCAAGATTAGTACAACACGACTACTACAAAGCCAAACAACCTGCGTGGAAGCCGCAAGGTCAATCATAACACAAGTCGCAGAGTTTGCAGACTCGCAGCCTGACTTTCTTCTTCTGACGCCTACGCCGACCTTCCTTGCCGCCACAACACTCGCGCTGCAGACATTCAAGAAGCCTCATAAGCGCATGGGCCGCAGCGACGGGGAACTTGTGCGCATCGCATCGGACTATGTGGCAGACTGTTATCGAAAAGTTGGGCAACACAGCGAATTCGTGAAAGGCGTGCTCGAGTTGACGCAGCGGGTGAACCAAGTCTTGTCTGGCGATAATAGCTCTTCTGTTGATCAAACACAAAGACCTCAGCAAGACTTGCCGACCACAAATAACGACCAGAGAATGTTATCACCGAATCAATTCGGCGACGTCGCGACCGATTCGTTCGTGTTTGATCCCTTAGAGTACTTTCAGGATCCCTTCCAGGCAATGCCTTTAGACCACTTCTGGGCTGTGATGGAGAGCGATTTTGCCACGATTGGAGATCAAGGGATGTGCTGAGATGGCGCATGAATGGTCTAAAGATTCCCCAAGTTTATCATGAACTTACCTAAGCATATTATGACTTCGGATTAGATACCCTGTGTAGTAATGAATTGACGAGAGCGTCTGCTTTACATACCTGTCACAGAAGATCCAGCATAGATGATTTGAGAGAAGAGCGGAACGTTTCAAAGCGAAGTAGTAGGTCCCCAGCGGGTGCACGTCTGATATAAAACTCCAAATGATCATCCTCGTCGGTTTCGTTTCCATGCACACCGAGCCGAGCCGCTCGGACTCCATGATATGGTTTCATTGTGCAAGCTGATCATACGTGAGAGGTTCGGAATTGCCTATCATCCTTGAAAACGCTGTCAGTCGGGTTACAAGGGAAACACTGGGGGAACAATCGTCCCTGCTTGTGACAACTTATAATCCTCTTGCCTAAGATTAAGTAAACTAAAACCCTAATTTGGTACTAAGATCCACTAGGCTTATGAAGATGTTTCTCAGACTTATCTAGCAGTAATGGAATTTTGTATTGGAACATCGTTGTCACAGGTCACGGCTCGAGGCTCTTCCTACCTCTTGAAATGCGCAAAGCAAGTATGAGCGATTCTTACACTTTATTCTCAACCGCCGTTTAAGATCGCCATAATCACAAAGAGACGAGCTGAAATACTAGAATAATATCCCTCATGCTATGCTTATGACAAGTAGACTCTTGGACCTCGTATCAGCCAGTTCCTCATATACCAAATAATGTCGACGAGATTGGATCGCATACAAAGCAACACGGGCATGCAGAGTCAGCGAAGTCATGATGTACCGTTATATTCGGCAATTAGACAATACAAGTGACTACAGGGTCCTTTTCGTGGCATCATGTCGCGTAATGTGAGCCGCTGGAGCCTCCCATGGGATTCTTGATCTGTCAACCGTTCGCGGGTCTCGGCGCGGGAAACAGTGTTCTAGCCCAGTTGTGAGGCAAAATCCGCGACAAAGATGATCAAATGATTAACAGAGGACCGAGATGAAAGCCTCTCTGCAGACTTTGCGGACTCGTCCGCTCGGTTGAACTCGGTTGGTTCGGTTCGGACATTCTATTCCCTCGTCGCTGATCCTGCAGTACCCCAGATTTTAGTCTACGCACCAATACTTTGGACGCTGTGGGGCCGAAGAGCCGCTTCTTCGAGCTGGATATAAAGAGGAATGGGAATTTCGACCTTCAACTTCAATCCAAGTCAACAGGTCACCACCGAAGCATCTGGTTCAAACTTCATCTTAAGCTAGTATCAGTTTACAAGATGGCTCCTTCAGCAACTACCACCACCACCACTACTGAGGAGCACCCAACCCTCACCCTCCGCCCCGAGGGACTTGAGCGTATCGTGATTGATGGTAACGACAGACGATACGGTGATTGGAGAGATGATCTCGTCCGTGATGGATACGCCGTTGTCAAGGGTGCTATCCCTAGAGAGCGAGCTCTGAGCTACGCTAACCGTATGTACGGTCTTATCGAGAGCTTGTAAGTATACGACCGCATCGCAATTAACGAAGTGTTTACTGACAATTCTCAGCGGTCTCGGCTACAACCGAAACGACCCTTCAAGTGTTCACCCCGACAAGCTTCCCGTCATCAACGAGAAGGGTATGCTTCTGAACTACGGTGCCGCCCACGAGGACTTCGTCTGGGGAGTTCGATCCGAGCCTGGTGTTGTCGGAGCTTTTGAGAAGGCTCTTGGATCTGAGGATCTCATTGTTTCCTTCGACGCTATCAATTACGGCTTTGCCAACAGAGAGAACCTTCCTGAGAACAAGCCCTGGCCTCATCAAGATCAGGACCCCGATGTGCCTGGATTCCGCTGCCTCCAAGGACTCGTCAACCTTCTTCCCAACGGCCCCAATGACGGCGGTCTCATTGTCGCAAAGGGCGGCCACACCAAGAGCAAGCAGTTCCACGATGAGATCCGAGGTACTGAAGAGCGCATTCCCGCCTGGACTAAGGAGTGGTACGGATTCACGGACAAGGGAATGAAGTGGCTCGAGGAGCACGGCTGCGAGTGGTACAAGGTCGAGGCTGAGCCAGGTGACCTGATCCTCTGGGATTCCCGAACCCCTCACTATAACATTCCTGTGAAGAGCCAACAGGACCGCTTCGCAATCTACACTTGCTTCATGCCCGTGTCTGAGGCGTCTCAAGAGGATCTCATTCGCAAGAAGGATGCATTTGAGCGAAGAGTCGGCACAACAGTGAGCCTATTCCTACCCATCTATTTTGTTTCGAGTACTAACAAGTCCAGCACTGGCCCAACGCTCGCCACCTCGGCTCTAATGAGGCCAAGCGCAACGGCAAGCCTGATCACGTAGTACGCGACAGGCCCCTGCACGAGCCTATTCTGAACGAGAGGGCTTTCAAGTTGACGGGTATTCCTTATATCAAGGCAGAGGCTAGATAGAGAGGAAGGCCGGTGAGCATATTGGAAGGAGTTTTTAGTTATTGTAGCATAAAGACATCAGAATGCATACGTTTTGTTAGAGATACAGCGCGCGTTCTATCATGATCATCATTGTAATGGAGCGCCCAATGTAGAATATTTCGTACTACACGAACTCATGACTGTAAGAACGCCTCGGTTCTTCATCATCCCGCTAGTCACATCTGTGCATATAGACGAGACTCGGATTGAAACGGGTTAATTAAGAGTGTCGATCTAGAATAAATAACTTGATGATAACTCTTGTGACGATACTTCTCACGTACTGAGCTGCTTGAGAGAACTGACTACAAATCTGAAGAATGCATGCCTGGGTTTCGGATCAAGCCTGAGGCTTCAAGTCAATTTGTCAAAAACTAGAAATACCGAATTCAGTAGCCACGTTCACTCTTCCTCTACGGCGACACGCATCATGTCGATTCAATAGAGGTTCAACTTGTGTCAGGGCTCCATGTTATCTCATAAAGGATTAGCTTTGTCTAGTGAAGTGAGGGGTTGAGCGTGCAGACCGATCTCGGGTTGTGTTGCAGCAGCCCTTCGGTTCGATTCGGTTCGGACTCGGTTTGCTGCTTCGTTGATCTTCGGAACAAGCGATGCTACCGTACCTAGCGTGGTCCCTAAAGAGACCCTAGCCATCACCGTATAAGATGCGATTTGCAAGATCAATATCATTATCATTGCTACTGGCACGAAAAAGTTAAGCGCAATATCTCGATACCATACCAAATTCATCATGGGAAGCATGCCTGAACTACATGTTGTGATTGTTGGTGGAGGCATCGCAGGTCTCGCAACTGTACGTCTGGCGAACCCTTAGAGGCACTAAAACCCCTAGCTAACTAATCCCAGGCCTTTGCTCTAAGACACCCCAACAGACGCATTACTGTGCTTGAGCGCTCTCGTCTACTACGCGAGGTTGGTGCTTTAATCTCACTGCAGCCTAATGCAAGCAAGATCATTACCAAGTGGAAGCTTGATCCCTTCCTTGAGAGTGCCGAGCCTCAAGCCGATCAAGGCTTCAGAATCTTTGATGCAGATGGCAACTTGGTGAGAGAACTTCCCTTCCAGAAGGGACAGTTCGGTGCCGAAAGAATGCTTTATCACAGACAAGATTTACAAGCAGCTCTGGGAACTGCAGCAGCAAGCGAAGAGGCGTATGGTAATCCTGTAGATGTTCGCACAGGTTGCCAAGTTGCGAGCGTCGACTGTGACGAAGGCGTTGTGACAATGGACTCGGGCGAGAAGATTCGCGGCGACCTCATCATTGGTGCCGATGGCATTCATAGTGTTGTGAGAACTGCCGTGGTAGGCGAGAAGAGGAATGCTCTACCGACCGGCACGTCAGCTTATCGAATGCTAATCCCAACTGAGAATCTGGAGGGGCTATCTCTACCAAACCAACTCCTGGATCCCCGGGTGCCTAAGACAACCATGATCATGGGTCACGATCGAAGAGTGATCATGGGACCTGGCAGAAACAGCAAGCTGTACGGTATTGTTGCTTTAGTGCCAGACGAAAAGCTTGCGGAGGAGAGCTCAGACAGCTGGGTTGCTCCTGGAAGCATTGAGAAGCTGTTAGAAGCGTATTCAGATTTCCCTTCATGGCTCCACGATATCTTCAGAGCAGCTCCAGACATCGGCTTGTGGCAGCTCAGAGATATCGATCCTCTGCCACGTTGGGTGAAGGGTCGAACCATCCTGATTGGTGACGCTGCTCATGCCATGCTTCCTACTCAAGGTCAAGGTGCATCACAGAGCATCGAGGATGCGGAGGCTGTCTGCGCGTTCTTGGCCAACGTCCAATCGAGGGACGAGGTCGGCGCTGCTTTGGAAAGAGTCTTTGCTGCCAGATATGATAGAGCATCTCTGATCCAGAAGTTTAGCAGGGAGCAGGCGAAGCCAGCAACTGATGGGGTGAGCAAGAAGGTGAATCTTGATCCTGCTCAGTTTATGAGATATAATTGTGATTATGATGGAGCTGTGGACTGGGAGGGGCGTCAGAAGAAGGGAACCGCAAATCCTTGATGACATAGGTACTTATAAAGAGAATTTGTGATGCCAATATCTTATTTCTTATAACGGATAATTGAGCGGAGCTGTGATAACTCGGCCTTACATAAAACATGCATTCATGTTCTTTCTTATACAGGAGGATTATCAGTAACTGACACTCAGGAGTACACGCCCTTTTCAGTCGGGAACATATCGGGAGGACGACAACCCTGAAAGACTAAAACATATTGCCATTTTATTGAGACCCTATAAAGCTCCCCGGAATTCTAGTCTGTTATCTGATTTGGTACTTTGTCGATACTAGAAGCCTATTGGCCTGATATCTTCTGCATGATGGAGACATATCACTTGATTAGAAAGGTAATGAGAAACTGTTCAGACTGTATCATAATCATATTCATATTAACCACCAAACCCTCCTTCATTCACTCAAAACAGGAACTGACGACCAAAACATGCACTACCGGTGAAACGTCGTAATTATAACCCTTTTGTATAAGTTTACTCGGCCTTGTCCTTGTCCACGCAGTACCTTCCAGTAATCTTTCGGATCTTCTTACCGAAGATGAAGACGAAGATGCCGAGGACTCCAAAAGCACCAGTCAAGCCACCAAAGACACCGAAAGCACCATCGTAACCGTTTTGCTCAATGAAGGGAGTGATTCCGTAGCTGACGCCAAATGACATGATACCACGGACGGCACAGATAATGACCAGGAGGGGACCAGCTCGCTGAGGATAGCTGTCCAGAAGATATGTGATAGCGACAATGTTGGCTCCGACGAACGTGAAGTAGTAACTGTGAATAGTTAGAAATTTGAAGCTTGTGCTTTGAGAAGGGGGAGACACTTACGCAGCAACTGCCCAGACATAGGTGAACCAGTGGTACTTCTCAGGATAGGTGGCACCAAGTCCGTACAAGACGGCAGTAAAGACACCAACGACAATGGGGAAAGCAAGAGGAATCAAACGGATCTCAGGCTCGTGGATACCATTGCGTCGGTTCGCGAACCACTTGATGAGCTTGTCCGAGCCGAAGCCGAAGCAAGGAAGTGCGACGAGCGAGGTGACGATCTGACCGGCGTTGACATAGCTAGCAGATGATTGGGGCCAGTTGTAAGGAGGGCTGGTGACAATAGAGCCATAAGTCGTTCCAATAGCAATATTAACACCAAGAGTAAGACCGTTAAGGCAAAGGGCCCAGAGGACGTTGGGGAAAAGCATGAGGCTAAAGGTTTGCTAGTCCGTGTTAGAGGAGCCTAGACCACGAGTGGCGAATAACTTACGGTGAAAATCTCAACGACCTTGTTCCACTCAGGCTTGCCAACCCAGAGTCTCATATCGGATCGGAATGTGCGAGGGGCAAAGTTGACATAGTCGAGTTCAGGACGCTCAGTGCAGACCTCAACAACGTTCTCATCATCGGAGCTGCCGCCAGCTTGGTAGGCAGACTTGGGACGGTAGTACTTGGTCTCGGGGACGAAGAAGAAGGCAAGGACGAGGGAGACACCGGAGAGGATAGCACCAAGACCATACCACCATTCGGGTGTGATGGCTTCGGCGATGGGACCGGCAAAGATGACGAAGATAGCGGTCAGGATGGTCTGAATGGTCTGCTGGATCATCATGCAGGTACTTCTCTCGTGAAGGAAGAAGATTTCCTATCCAGCCATTAGTCATCGCTAGGTTTGTGAAAGTAAGAGGTATTACCTGTGTGATCATGGGAACAAGAGCTTCACTCTGGCCAGCCGAGAGTCCAAGGATGATACGTCCAGCAAGATGCCACTCATAAGTGGTTGCTCCTGCACAGAGACCAGCGCTGAGGATCATGATGATTGTAGCGGCGAGGAGGACGATTCGTCGACCGACCGCGATACCGAGAGGCATGCCGATGAGGTTACCGATACCCATGAAGAGGGTAGGATAAGTCATGAGGTGAGTGATGTCGGCGTAGCCCTTGCCAACGGCAGCGTAACCAGGGATGTAGAAGCCTAAGAGACCTCCGAATCCTGAGACCAATGCCAGACCGATTGTCGAGACTTGCGGTATGTGAGTTTGCGTTTCTGAGAGACGATCGAGAATTGTACACGTACATAGGGAGATAACAATGAGAACGAGAGCCTTTTGCCACATCTTCATGTTCAAGGGATCTGAGCCGTCAGCAATTGGTTGAGTACTCAAAGAGGAGCATAGTCTTACCCTGAGGATCTGCGGTCGGCGTTGGGATGTAGATGGTCTTTCCTTCTATCAGTTTAACAGTTCCGCTGATCTCAATCTTCGACTTCGTGACCTGAATCACGTCGAGAGAATCTTTCGAGACGCTCTCGACATGATTGACATCGGACTTGGTATCCATGATGCTGGCCTTTGTAGTAGTTGTTCTCTGTTGTTGCGCTGCAGAAGATGCTGGTGAAGAACAATCCAACGAGGCTGCACCGCCAGACTTTATAGAGAAATGGACGAGGCCAAGAGATAACAAAACAAGACAGGAGGTGAAGTCCTTGCGCGCAATCTCATGGTCTTGGCTAGTGCAACTCCCCACAAACCTTGTTTCCCCGCATGGGACCACATCCCGATATCTCGGTACGATTAGTGCGGTTTGCGATGATTTAGGCTAGAGGCATCACGAACCGAGCTGTTACCCCGGATCATACCCCGGATTATGGTGTTGCTACCGAACCGGATCCAGACTCTTGCGAGCCCCCCATGCCAAGTTCTGGGCAGACTTGGCCTATCATGAACTATTGATTGGCAATGTCACGAAGAAGTCGTTATTCGAAGTTATGTGTTTATGTGTAATTGGAACTCGAACCGACAACCTTGCCAATTCTTGGCCAAGATTCCACCAAATTTGCAAAGATGATCCGAAGGCTCAACAACCAATATTTTCAACTCATGGGCCTACATCCTAGGCAAAATCGATCTTCTGTGATCTTCTCTGGGCCAAGCTCATAACTGTTTAGATTAGATTTAGCACAGACACGAAAAAGGGCAGCTGTTTGTATGCAGAAAAAACTGTATTGCGAAAAGTCTTAGATACTGTAACAAAATGATCTAGGCTACCATTCTCCCCCACGACCCATTCCCAATATTTTCCATCATTCATCATAAGACTTAACACCTGCCAATCGAAGTATCTGATCCGTTACTTCGGGCTTCTCAAAAGGTTCTGTACGGTACTTAGGGCAGATCTCGCCATTCCTCATAGGCTTCTCCTGGGCGATGCGGATGTTGCTAGAAACGAGTTAACGACGAGCAACGAAAACACCAATCATTTACTAACCAATGAGGCCAATGTGTAGTGCCCATGTAGTTGTTGAAGCAAAAGGATTTGGCCTTAAGAGCTTCCTCTGTTGCGAATTGTCGTGGTGTCACTTTGAGGTTGGTGTTAGTCAAGGTCCGGGCCAACTTGGGACACGCAACTTACTGCAGATGTACTGCACATGTCGGATCTGATCGCCCTCAGGGAATCGAGCATAATGCATGGTACGAGAGTCCCAAAGAACAAAATCACCGGGCTCCATGTCAACCTTGTACATAGTGCATCCTCGCTCCTCAAACCACTTGACGTCCTTCTCGCTGAAGATGAACAAGTCCATGTACTTGATCTCAGGAGGAGGAGCATCCTCATGATCAGCGGAGTCGCGCTTTTGAGCAAAGAACTCATTGAAGAGCTTGGAAGAGCCCTTCATGAGCATGAGACCACCGTCCTTGGGGCCGTTGGGGGCAAAGTTTAGAAGACCCTGCACGGCTTGCATGCTTTAGGTTCGGGTTAGCAAAAAGTTGGGGTAATTCGGAAGGATTACTTACCCCTTGCGCTCGGGGTTTTGATCGCAGTGAGGCCAAGGGCTCCAAGTGATATCGGTTCGGTTAGGCAGGGAGACATTGAGACCGTCAAAAGAGCACAGGAGCTCCTTGGTTCCCCAGAGCTTCTCAAAGATCTCAACAACCTTGGGCTCGGTGCGTGCTTCCCAAGCCATCTTCTCGTGGGTAGCGCCGTATCCGTAATACATACCTCCCTTGAAGGAGACAGGAAGATGATCCGCATTCCAAGTGCTGGGGTCCTTCTCATCAAAGCCAAGCTCGAACTTCTTGAGCCACTCAATCTGCTTGTCGCAGTAGTATTGAGCTTTCTCTTTGCTGATGACATTCTTGATCAGAACACAGCCTGTCTTGTGGAACTCATCTCTCCAGTCGCCGTAGACGACATTGGGGTCAAACTCGACGAGATCCTTGGTCTCGAAGCGAGCAGCGACGGTCTGCTCCATCTCCATTGTAGTAGTGGTAGACATGATGGATTGTGATGAGAATGATACAATGAAGTGAGGATGGAAGTGTGATGTTTGATGATGAAGCGCTAAGAATGGATTGAGGCTGAAGGTTCCTTAGTTATATCTCTGATCCGGGGACTCAGAACGCGGAGATCTGGGGTAATGAGGGCTCTCTCGGTTCGGAATCATCTTTTGCTGACTGGCGAGGCGAAAGGCAAATTCTGTCTCACTAATTTTCGGTCCGGCCTATTTCGTTTCGGTTCGGATTTGGAGACTTCTCCTCATTGCAGTCTCGACCTCGGATATTAACTCAGATGACCGTTGCAAAAGCCACTTGATAAAGGAAAACAGTTCGCCTAGCGCGGGGTCTACAGGGTCTAGACAGTGGAAGAACCAATGATAAGACAAGGAATAAGGACGATGATATCCGCCTGGGGTTGCATGATCAACCGCATTGCGTCTCCGCGATCTTCCCCTCAATCTCCCCGTGGGGTCTTTCAGCCCGAACCGAACCATGCGGATCCAGAAAATTAGTGACTTTGGCTTTCAACTCCGCAGTGAATCTTGAGATAATTATTGAAGGTGAAGGGAGCTTAAAGATACGCTTCAATCTCTTGTCAACAGTAGCCAGTCAAATACCTTGTCAATTCTAATCATTGTATTCACCCAGAACTTATTCGCAGAAATCAGTACAAAGACGTTTTTCATTACCTTTGAAACATCCATTTTCCCTCATTTCTCCGCTTCCCTATCACCAACATGCCGCCTCCCGTTCAGGTTGCTTACAAGCCTCTCAACAAGCCTGAGGTTGGCGACAATGGCTACGTTGAGCCCACTCCAGGAAAGTCTGAGGTGCTAAAGAAGGGCTCTAGACCTTTCGATGCAAGACCTCTTGACTCTGATGTCCGCATTGATCACGATGTTGAAATCGTTGTCCGTGACGGCTGCCGCCTCTATGTCGATATTTATCGCCCCACGGGGTCTGAAAAGGTGCCTGTCATCATTTCTTGGTCTCCCTATGGCAAGAAGTACTCGGCCATTGATATGATCTTCAACGTGTGCACTTGGGCCTGCTGTCTCACAAAAGACGATGTCAGTGGACTGGAAAAGTTTGAAGGTCTTGACCCTGCTTGGTGGGTAAACCAAGGCTATGCAATTGCACATGTTGATGCCCGCGGAGCTGGTAATAGCGACGGCGATGCATGCTGTATGGGTGCACAAGAAGCAGAGGACGCCCACGATGTCATCGAGGGACTGGCTAAGCTTCCTTGGTGCAACGGCAGCGTCGGCATGGCTGGCAACTCATACCTGGCCATTATGCAATGGCAAGCTGCTGCACAGAATCCCCCTTCGTTGAAGGCAATTGCGCCTTGGGAGGGATCTGGAGACATCTTCCGCGAGCAGTTCTGCAGAGGTGGCTGGTTCACTATGAGCAACTTCGATCTTATCACAACTCTTGTCATCAAGGGCCAGCACGGCGTGGAGGATTTTGCTGAGATGTATCGAAGAAGTCCTCAAGCTAATGCCTACTGGAACGACAAGCGTGTGGATTTCTCCAAGATTAACATTCCTGTTTTTATCACCGGTTCGGACCTAAGCCAAATTCACACCATGGGTGCTGTGCGTGGCTGGATGGAGTTGGGAAGTGACAAGAAATGGATTAAGTGGTGTGGACACCAGGAGTGGTTTGAGCTTTACTCGGTGAAGGAAAGCTACCCCGAGCTCAAGGTCAATGCTTTTGTTCTACGCTATATGATATCTGCTGACATCGCCATAGAAATACTTCGACAAGTACCTCAAGGGTATCGATAACGACTGGGAGGAGACACCCCGAGTGCGATGGACAACTCTTCAGTTTGACGAAGGAAAGGTCAAGAGCAACATTGAGCTCCCCGACTTCCCTGTCCCCGATACCGACTATCGCTCATTCTACCTCGGAGACAATGATACACTTCTAGATAGCGCACCATCTTCAGGTATCAAGACCTACAACTCTGAAGATCGCTGGTCCATCGCCAAGTTCCGATACACTTTCGACAAGCACACAAGAATAATCGGAATGCCCAAAGCGGAGCTATACGTGAGCTGTGATGATTTAGACGACATGGTTGTCTTTGTACAAGTCCGCAAGCTCGACAAGAACGGCAAGGAGTTGAGCCACTTGCAGTTCCCTATTGAGAAGACTCCCGTGAAGTCGGTTGACGCAATGGACGAGAAGGATCGCTCAAGTCTTACATTACACAACGGTGCTATGGGTATTCTGCGAGCGTCACAACGGAAGATCGATGAGAAGCGATCGATACATCCTCAGTTCCCCTTCCACCCTCACGATGAGGTGCAGAGGATTCCCAAGGGTGAGGTGGTCAAGCTCGACATTGGGATCTGGTGCATGGGAGTGGACTACGAGGAGGGTCAGACCCTTCAGGTTGATATCTTGGGGCAATACCCCGGGTTCACTGAAGTTGCTGCCTTCTCCAAGCCAAGGCCAGATAGTGAGAAGAACAAGGGACAGCACAAGATTCATTACGGCGGAGAGTATCCTAGCAAGGTTATCATTCCCATTGTAAACGTTTGAAGATAGGAAGGTTACGAGATAGATTATAATCATAGAGCATTGGTCTTACTGCAGATATTATCATAAACCTAGAAATCTGTAACGCTTTGGATTTTGGGTTACATAAACCTAGTTCAAAGAGCCAGGAACTTCTATTATAAAATCTTGTTTACAATCGTGGGGAACAAGTATCTAATGGCCATAAAGAGAGCCTTCCTATCTAAGTAGAGGGGCGAGGTGTCGCTAGACGGCAAACGGGTCTGATTTGGGATCGGTGTTGCGGACATACTCAGAACCATCTGCAGTGTCATCTGCGATCTCCTGTCCATACTGCTCTGCAATGAAAGCATAGATCATATCAATACCTGCTGAGATTCCAGATGAAGTCCAAATATTGCCATCGACAACCCATCTTGCGTTTCGCACCCACTTGACATTGGGCCCTTGCGTCTCAACCTATCGTTGATTAGTAAGAAAGCATCCCGGAATCAGTGTAGCATACCCAGTCAAAGGACCTCTTATTCGAAGTTGCTTCCTTTCCATCAAGCAGGCCCGACTGGGCCACGATGGCACTGCCAGTGCAGACAGTCAGAAGGAACCTCAGTTTAGGGTATCTCTCCTTGACAAATTCCCGGACTCTTTTCACATTTTCTGGATTTCGCGAGCCTCTTCCCCCGGGTACGAGCAGGACTTCAATATCTTCCGGTGCATTATCATAGGTATGAGTTGGGACAACACTTTGTCCGATACGGCCAGGAGAGTCATCTTCTAACGTAGACACAGGATCGAGAGAAGTATGAAGGAGTGAGAGCTCGAGAGGTTGGCGCTTGGATGTGAAGTTTAGGACGTCCAAAGGGCCAAACACATCTAGGGCTTGGAACCCAGGAAACAATGCGACAGCATACTTGGTAGGAGGAGACATGCTTCAGAATCAATTCAAATGACAATCAGAGCACGGCTGGCTTATTGTAAGAGTCGGAATTATGGCGACAGTGAGGGGTAAGCAACTCGTGAGCGATTTGTCAGCATCGAGAATGAGTCAATTAAAATCCGATGTCAGGCGGATATCTGACTGTATTGCCAGATTGATATGATATGCATAAATATCTTGATTTCTACAGGAACAAGTTCCATTTGGTGCGACTTCTACCGGACATCCCTTCGGTGACAGACAGCCTTAGACGACCCGACCCTTGGTCTGCTTAATGTTGATGATGTTAATGTTCTTCCACATGACTACCCCAAGAATTCCAAGGGCCCAGACGGCAGTGCCAGCAATGAACAAGTATTTGTGTGCGTCGCCATAGGCATGTTGGATTGCCAGCCGAGTCGGAGATCCAACGGGGTAAGATAGTTGGGTCACAATGTCCATCGCAATCATGGGCAGATTAGGAAGATCCTCCTCAGGGAGATACTCCGCAAGCTTCTTGGGGAGAATATCTTGCCAGATAGCAGATGACACAGTCAATCCAACGGCCGATCCAATACTGGCACACATGGAGACCAGCGCGATAGACACGGCAAAATACTGCTGCTCTTGGACAGCGGCAAGAATGGCGATCTCGGCAGTAATCATGATGGCGCCGCTTCCAAAGGCGATAAATATTTGAGACATGGCGATGTAGCCAATACTTTGATCAGGTTGACGGAAATAGATCATCAGGCCAGATCCGAGGATGGATAGAGGAAGCGCCACGTAGAGTGTGACAGCTTTATAGTTCCCAGTGTAAGACATCACCATGCCGACGAAGATGGCGAAAATGAAGCCGCCAACGGTGTATGTTGATACAACGTAGCTAGCACGTGTGACGCTAAGGTTGTTGACGACCTGGAGGATGGAGCTGAAGTACATGCCCCAACACATGTAGCTGAAGAAGAGGGTGAAGGAGAGGAGACAAGCACCAGCCACTGTGCGATCCTGAAGAAATCTCCAAGGGATAAAAGAAACTTTGGCGAAGAACCTTTCCCAAATGCCGAAGAAGATTAGAAGTAGGATCCCGAAAACAAAGAAACAAATGATCATGGTTGAGCCAAATCCTTTAGCTTGCAAGGCGTAGAGATTGAATGGCAGAAGGAAAAGGGCAACTCCAGCAGACAGGCTAAGAAGACCAACAACGTCAAACTCGCGAATGTAGTAAGAAAAGCCCTGCGATTCTCGCTTCGGAATGATGCCTTGCTTCTTGGCTCTCAGGTAATGATGCATGAAGAGGCCAAACAAGGGAATGGTAACACCTGGAACAAGGATACTCTCCATGCCGAAGGCCCATCTCCAACCAGCCCCGTTCAAGAATGCCGTAGAGATTGGACCACCCAGCCATGCTGTAATGATGCTCGGAGAGCCGCAAAGAGACTGGATTAGACCTCGATGCCGAAGAGAGGTAGTATCAGCGATAAAGACGCTAAGACTGTAGCCAACTCCATTGATGCCAACGGTGTAAAAGACTTGGGATGCAGCATAAGCTTCAACATTGTTGCAGGCGGCCGACATGATCAGTCCAAGAGTTGCAAGAGTAGCGCAGAACAAGAAGCCCTGAGGTCGGCCGAAGATGTCGAGAGTCTTTGCGATACTCAGATTGGTGACACCTCCAATGACAGAGCTCATCACGCTCGTAGTCGGCGTGAGAGAGTGCATTGCGAAAGCGGATGTGACATATGGGATCAAAGCGCTGCTGATACCCGAGACAAGACCTTGGACGAAGTAGACGAGCCAGATCAGAACAAAAGCGACCATCAGCGCGGTTCTGGACCACGAGAGCGTAACGGCCTCGATGTTTTGTACGCCATGCTGGAAGTTGACGTCTATCGCATCGTTGACAGAACTTTCTGTGTCTCTATCAGGGCCGTCGTGGGGATTGTTGTGGACGTGGTGCAGCACTTTCGTATCGGAATCGACCGTGGAGGACATGATGCGAGAACAACAGTAGGCAGGGATGCCAAGGCTACTCGAAGATGACTGTACTGATTGAGATTGAATAAAGACAAACTGGTCAGGTTTGGTGGATGATTGAGGTGAGAAAGGCAGTCGTTATGGAGGGAAAAGATCGAAGGTAGGAGTGTAAAAACGCGACTTCACATTTAAAGGACCCATGGTATTGTTGCCACGACAAAGATACCGCAGAAAACGTGAATCTAAAACAGATACCTTCTCATTCTCACCCTGTCTCAAGAGATCTGATTGACAAAATAACCCTTGCAGCTGGTGCTGGTATCAACATCATGCTGATGCCCACCAATCAAGATTTAGCTCAAATTCTCTCAAATCACCAACACAGCGAAAATTTCGTTCCAGCCACCTGCTATCTTATCCACACAACCCTTGGAGCTTAGTGTTATCGTATCGCCAAGCCTTGAAAGCTAATTGTCTAGATCATCGTGGCATGCGATGGGATGGAGCTTGCATGTGCAGGACTAGCGCTTGGGTCTGCTCGGGTATGAGCAAGTTGTTGTTGGCGCTGTCTTGAGGACCCCCTGTATTGACGCAGAGCTAATTTGAGCTGCCTGACAGCTGACAGGGCTAGATTATCCTTGTGAATCAAACTGTTGTTGAGGTTCATAGCTGGAGACCTTTCAACAGCGAGCGTGCAGAGATTGTCTACCTAAGTTTAGTCCAAAGGGCTGTCTAAGCTTATCATAAATTATCCTAAACTTGTCCAAGTGTTTCCATCCTTTAGGAGGATGATAGAAACTCAACTTGCCGCTCAGTTTCGAGCTTAGTTGGAAGAAGTGCAAGGCAAATCTTGTCTCTCTATCATAAATCTCTCAGTATCTATGCAGATTACTCCTTATACTCGAGCTTGTCCAACCTAGAGCTCAAACTCGCTTATGATCCAACAGGACTGCATACTTAGTGAACTCTTCATCACTCATGAGCATGTTTAATTCCTCCGGCAAGGTTCCGAGCACGAGTTCTACGCCACCATCCTTTCTCATCGGAGAGATGACCAAGAACCGGAATCGTCTATGGCCACGTTCAATCTGTGGCCGCATTGCTTCCGGGCTACCCCCTTCAAAGAATGAGTCACCAAATGAGACGTCGCTTGTCTGAAACAGCATCATGTTGGATATCATGGCGTTCATGTGCTCGAGACCCATGTTTGCTGTTGCAGGCTTGCTATAGTCTGTCATAGAACGCAATAGAGTAAATGTGTCATGGACGACTGACGGTGTGATTCGTGCAGCTGCCTCTCGGATCACGCGCGCAATCTGTGAGATGTTGGTTTCGGGAGAGCAGAGCGTTTCGATAGGCATGACGGGGCGGTTCATAACGAGCAAACTGCCCATGTAGGACGACGGTAGCAGTGATGAGAAGTAAGCCCGACCGTCAATTGGCATTTCGAGAATTGACAGCTCGTCAGGCTGAAACGTCTGGTTCCTGATCTCCTTAGCCACTTTGTATCTAGATCTGATCGATGCACGCCAGAAAAAGGCTTGCACAATATCAATCACTGATACAGTGACACCCTTGACCCCAGTGTCTGAGAGAGCTTCTTGCTTTAGTCTATGGATACTCTCCCCCGAAAGAAGGAAGACTGTAGTATTAAGCGATCGCTCGCTTGGAGCAGCGGGCCATACTGAGCTTCCAGGGAACACAGGGGCAGGAGGAAGAGTATTCTGCGTAGCACGGGGCTTTTCAGCAGCCATGATCTCGTTGTGAGAAGCTGTCCCATTGCGCAAGTTGACGCCAATCTCGGTTGTGAATGGAAGAAAGCCCCAAGTGCCAGGATCAACCTCATGAACCGGCTTCGCATATCCTTCCTGCTCCCAAATAATCTCAGGAAGATCATGATTGAAGCTTTCGGGGTCAAACCAGTCACATGTCGCCGTCTCATCGCCGTCAAGATACCGACAGCACTCAGCCCATACTCTAATTGCTACCATGACGCCAACGGCATCAAGACAAGTATGAATGAAGTTGGTAGCCAGAATACACCCCCCTCCAACGAAATTGGCTTGTGCGACAAGTATATCTGCTGGCATTGGAGGGAAAGGTGGGCAATCCAGGACAAGGTCATCGCTGAACAAAGATGGCGAGAAGTCCGCTTGACGCATCTCCTGAAATGACGGAAGGACCTGAGAAAGGTCTTTGTACAGCAACTGTCTGGGCTTGGAAGAGGCTGATAATGGGTAAGGAGGGATTGTAATACGATATTCGCCTTTCTTATACCCAAACTCGTGCTCTGAGGCAAGCATCATCTTCCCGTCAAGCTCGGGAATGATCTCAAATGCGCGAACAAGCCCAGCTTGTAACTTGGCAAAGGCTTCTTCGAAGCTGACACCTGGCCGAAGAGCGAAGTAGAAGTTGAGACCCATGTAGTGATTAGGATTGACAGCGTCGAACGGGTTCATTTTGGATCCCAGACGTCGCTTGCGATCAGCTATAATATTCTTCATCTTTTCCGACTCCATGTCTGAACATGGTGTTTCCGCCGTTGTATTTGTCTCTGCATCGCTCACTGAATCTGCCGCGATCTTCCTGGCCTTATCCCCTTCTAAGATCTTGAGAAGCTGGACGGAGAATTCCTCTATTGTTGGATGTGCATATAGATGGCGGGGAGCGAGTCTCTCCTCAAGCCCTGTAACGGCACGGATAATTCTGATGACGCGAAAAACGAGAAGAGAGTCCAAGCCGAGGTCAAAGACGTCCTCGCCGGCCGGAAAATCGTCAACCTCTGGCAAAACAGACCGCATAACACGAGAGACCGAGTCGCTTATGGTGTCAATTGATGTAGTGTCGATCGAGAATGCATCAAAATCCTCATCCTCAGCTTCTTCATCTCGAGAGATATAGAAGCGCTCGATGAAATCTGCATACAGATCTAGAGTGGCGCGGCGTTTGATGGTCTGTTTGTCTGTCCGGATGAAGGGCCTGTCTGCCTCCGAGAAGGCTATATACTCTCTTTGGAGTCGGGTCTTCTGGAAAGTGGAGTTGTTTGCCCTCTCGACGATCGCCCAGATGCTATCGAACAACTCGTTGTTCTTCTCACTGTGGTCCTTGAGCTCAATCAGAAGACCGGCTTGGGGCTTCCCGGTGCCGATCATTAGGCAGCCTTCGACTGCAGGATGCGTCGTGACCAAAGCCTCTGTGTCCAAGGGAGAGATCTTGTAGCCGTTGGAAAGGACAACGACATCATCACTTCTGCCGCTAAAGGCCCAAAGGTTGGGCTTCGTTGGGTGTCTGATGTAAAGATCCTTCAAATTGACCGAGTCCTGGTCAGGGAAGGTATAGAATATGCCCTGGAAAAGAGCCCAGTGCTCGTTGCGGTGTACCCAGTGTTCGTATACACCAGGCTGCACCTCTTTGAACTCAAATCCTGAGTAGGGATGAAAAGCAAACCAATGCCAGTCTTCTCTCGGAACCCAAAGATTGCCGATGAAGAGACCTTCCGTTGTGCCCGTGAGGTTGAGTACCCTGACTACTTCATTGACCTTGGAGACAATGACAGGGCTGACGGGACCTGAAGATGAGGGTCAGTGATTCACGCCCACGGCCATTTGATATGGATTAAAACTACTGACCGCCGGAGGCACAAATGAACTTGGATGACTCGAATTTGGCCAAGACTTCTGGGTTCTCGCCTAGTTCGTCCACAAGTGAAGGCACCATACTCCAGATGTCGATATGATCGGCGAGTGACTCGATCAGTCCGAGATTGGGTAAGACGCCCGAAGGTCCAAGAATACAATGAAGATTGAATAAGGAAGGCATAAGTATATCCATAATTACACCGGCGCCCTATCTTCGTCGTTAGCTGGAGCAGCTTGCCCGCAGGTACACTTACATGGCTCATCGGAAAGGAGGAGTAGATCCTATCACCTTCGTTCCAATTGTCCGTCCAAGGAGCCAATCCACCATCACCTTCAATGGGAGGCAGCAGTCTCACGGCATCCATGGTACCGATCAAGCCGTGTGTCCATAGAATCGGCTTTGGCACGCCAGTAGTTCCCGAAGTGTGCAATATGCAAAATGGCTCGTTGATGACACTCTCGAAAGCCTTACCAAACACGAATGGCTCCGTTGACTCGGCTTCCAGAAGCTCATCTACACTTGGGAGTTCGAGAACTCTCATGTACTTCTCCTGTAAAATCCCTTCCACTAGGGGGAGCATTGCTTGCTCTCGGGGCTTCACCCAAATACTGCAATCTGAAGCATTGAGAACAGCTAATGCACCGGTGATATTGTTCTTGGGTGAAAGGAAGAGGGCCTGTTTGAACTCATTTAGCATCGTTTGTACGATAATGGGTTCTAGGACAACTTACAGCACAGCCAGCCTTGACAGCACCATAGGTTAACAGCACATGCCGAATGTCATCTGAACCTGTGTGAGATCTATGTATGTAATTCATGAAAGTCGGGTGTGTACTTACGAGGTCCGATGTAACCCAAAGCTTGGATCTTCGGCGGCTTCTGTGTTACAGCATGCTCATGTGCCAGATCGCCGTTCGGATCTGCATTCATTTCATTGAGATGCTTATGGAGCCACCATGCTGTTTTGTCAACGGCCCGTCCAAAGGCTTGTGCAGTGATATGCTTAAACTTTGGGGCACCATCGGAAAGGCTGGCAATGGAGTAGACAACGCGTTCTGGATCCGCCACCGCCAGGCGATCAAGAATCTGGGGAATAAGTCTCCTCCCATATAAGGAATCAGTGTCAACCATTCTGAGCAATAGATGAGGACCTTTCAAGATAGGTGAATGATACACAGAGACCTTACGGTGAGTTTGGCAGTGTCGGCCTTATCTCGATGTTAAATTGACGAAGTGACACGTAAAAAATATGTGAGACCTTGATCCTAGGCGCCAGAAATCTTAGAGCGGCTTTAGATGAGTTTATCATAATAAATCCTAAACTTTGGCAATTTGTTTTCTTCACCCTAAAGATACTTTAAGGACCCGCATTATCTTCAGATGGGTTTTATTCGGCATAGGGGCTGGAGAGTTCGAGTCCCATCCAGTTTAAACATGTGGTATGATGAGAAACGAACTCATTCTCGCTCACAAGAAGCTTTCTTTTTTTTCGGTTAACGCCACCAACCAGAAGCTCATATGCCATCCTTGTGTATAATTTCACAAAATCAACAATTGGCGACGCGACATTTGAGCACATTGTTTAGTGTCTTGATGCATGTAACTTGCTCAGTTCCCCCTGTCCACGCTTGATCACCCCGGATCATGAGCATATAATCAGCCTCAAGTGGATACCCGTTGCGCAGTTTCTCACAGCCACGCTGAAACCCCCTGCCGGCTATACGAGACCCTGCTTATCAAATCACAGACTCAACACAGTTGATGTTCCTGCAGTTTGTCACTTCAGTACATACCCCGACACCAGATTATCGTCAGATCGGTCGAATCCTCTAGCTGAATTGGTCATCAAGACTTTCTTCTGGTGCTGAGGCTTGACCCTGCACATTTCGGCTTCATATTTAATATCCCTGGAAACTTTTAGTTGGGCTCAAACTTTAACCGCTTGGCATATTTCCACCACGAATCCAACATATCAACGAAAAGTGGTTCATCCTGAAACCCAACACGGATGCCGTGCTACCTCGACGCATCTTAGTCTCAAGACATACTCCATTTCCATGCAGATAATACCGTCGTATCCTGCCTTCGCGAACCAACACAGCATGTCTGTGACTTCTAAATTTGTCTCGGATGCTTCTGTCCAGGAACAGGCCAGCATTTGCAAGTCAGGAGCAGACTCGACAGTACGACCTGTTGCAGAGCAGCAGGACACAGATCCGTCTGTGCACGCAGTCTCCTCCAAGATCTTGGATATCATCTTCGAATATGCCTTGAACAAATTCAGTGACAGCAAAGAAAGGCTTGAGGCTGGTAGGCCGAAATTTTTGTCCGTCGTGGGCAAGTTCGTGACTGCTAGTACGAGAGTTGAGATGTGCCTACCAGCATTTCCTTTCAAATCAGCAAACAAAGCCTACAAGGTTTTTGGCATATTACCCGACAAAGCGGAGGAGATTGCTTTAGATCGGCTCAATACTATGTGTATCCGCATTGGCGAGATCTACCAGCCTGGCGCTCAATGCACTATCATCTCAGATGGCGTTGTCTACAACGACCTGTTGAGCATTCCTGATCGTGACACCTGGGCCTACGGACAGGCTCTTCGAGAGTTAGCTTCTAAGAAAGGGTTGCAGCACATATCCTTTTCCAGGATCCGAGACTTGGTCGACCTTCCTCTGCCAGCTGAGATGCATGAGATTGCCTATGTCGCCAATGCGACTAATTTCCGCCGAGCCCTTCTCAACCGCTTCGGTAAAGATGATATCGACATTGACAAAGAGATTGAGAAAGACCCTGACACCAAGATGACTTACCTTGGATATCGGCGGTTCCTTGAATCTGATCTGAAGCATATCTTTCCGGTTGGCAATGGACGAACAGCAAATGCATATCGCAGAGATGTGAGGTATCTTGCGAAACAAATGTTGATCCGAGGTTACGTAAGTGGCATGAAATACGTCTCTCCAACCAGTTCTGACAATCTAATAGGCCTTTGCTGCTGCTGTCAAGCACAGCTTCCCTTACCACCTGCGACTGTCTATTCACCAATCTACTGGTGAGCACAAGATATCTATGAGCTTGCTCAACACCAAGACGGGTTTCACTACACCGTGGCACTGTTGTATTGCCCTGACAGCAAGAGGAGAATGGACCAGTGCTCCAAAGGGAGAGTACCTGAAAGACCCAAATATGAAGATTATCCACGAGAATGGTCGACCTAGCTACTTCCAAGAGATTGTTGGCAGTAACAAGCCTCATCAACAGGCTGAAACAGGGACCAGAGAGGTGAACAGCAGTGAGAGCCAAAGTAATGCACCGCATACTGAGCTTCAAGAGCCAGTCAACTTGTCCCTGACAGAGACAGAGAGAGAAAGGGTAGCTGCACTTGCAAGATTCATGATGTCGGCCGACTTCAAGCAAAATGACGAAATGGTGAAGTCAGGTCAACCAGGTATGGATAAAGCCCTAGACTGCAACTCAAACGAGCTCAGCACAATGGCATGGCTCAAAGAGCTAATAAATGCCGTGGCCAGAGACACTGGAGGATATAACGAAAAGGTCACTGGTGTGAATTATCAAGAGATACTAGTGAACGGCGCACACCAGCTTTCAAATACCTAAAGCCATTCAGGTCACAGCTGGGTCTGATTTCTTCAGGTAGAAGGGTGAACTGAGATAGAAGATCATGGCCGTATAAGTAGTAATAGACAGACTTTTCTCGTTTCCTGAATGTATACTGCCTGTTCAAAGTTAAGATCCAGTTCCCTGGAGACACGCTGTGGAAGAAGTCTCTTTCACATACTGCTGCACGTTGACAAGGTTTATTTCTTAGTCTTCTTGTAACCCAATAACCATTCATTCGTACCCGAAAAGCATCTTTACTAATTACTTCCATTTTTCTATGTAGCTACTCTACTCATCCTTGACACTTCTCATGACTCTCTGAAGCCAGTTGGCTTTCGCCATATTAGCCACATGAATAAGTGGCATGTTAGGATCGTCCATCATATCGAATCCATGCCAAGCTCCGGGCCAGATGTGAAGTTCGCATGTTGATCCGCCTCGCCACATCTTGGTTGCATAAGCAACGGCAACATCGCGGAAGACTTCACATTCCCCAGCATCGATATATGCAGCTGGTAAACTCGACAGATCAGTCTCTCTTGCGGGCGCTTGATAAGGTGTAACATGTTCTGATCCTCGTGCATCACCCAGGATAAGATCCCAAATGGCACGAAGCCATGCTGTACTGGCAGGGTTACCGTATTCGAATTGCTGATCAGCCAAGCTCTCGCATCTATCATCCAAGAGAGGCGAGTAAAGCATTTGAGCTTTGATTGGGATAGCTGGGCGCTTCCTATCACGAGCCATAAGGCACGTAGCAGCTGCAAGGGCGCCTCCTCCGGACACTCCAAACACGACAATGGCAGCTGGGTCAATTCCAAGACTCGAAGCATTCTCAGAAACCCAAACAAGCCCCGCATAACAGTCTTCAGCTGGGCCAGGCGCGCGCGTCTCGGGAGCGAGGCGGTGTTCCACGGAGACAACAACGCAATCGATCCCTTTCAGAAGATCAATCACAGGCGTGACGGCAGTGAATCTGTCACCACTAACCATCCCGCCACCGTGAATATGATACAAGACTGGCCTTGGTGCCTTTGATGGCTCATTGGGTTCGAACACTGACAAGGTAATTATATTGTTGTCAGGTCCTGGAATTGAGTGCTCTGTATGACTCAAGTGCGGATTGTCTCGAAGGACAGTCTCCGCATTGAAGATGAATGAGCCGTGGGAGCATTCCTGTTCGCCACTCGCGACTCCGCGCATCAAGTTTAGGTCAAACTCTTCAGGGAATGAGGCAGAGTCCAACTATGGTGCCAGGTCAGGGTCGTAAATCGGACGAGGTATCTTGATCCTCGAGTCAAGCTTTGCAGCTTGTGAATATGGGAAGGGGTATGTCATGTCGATGAGAAATGATAAAGATTCGCAGGAATTAACAGTGTTCAATTCTTGTCAGCCAAGTTATTAGCACCTTGAGATGAGCTATTCGCTAAACAGAGCTGACAGGATGTCAGAAGATACGTGCAGAAAGAGGTGCGTATATGCCCGCAGTGTTCTCGTTCTCGAGCACACATCTTCCAGAAGTCGCCTTTTGCGAACGATGGGTGCCCCTCAGTTCAATTCGAATTTTAGGTGGATACTGGCCCTGGATGAGAAGATTTGAGTCGATTTCGCCCTGTGCATGAAGCTATCGTCGATAAGGCAAGCCCCCATTATCTGTCCCGCCAAGTTATGGACCCTTGAAAGAGGCTTGGAGGGTCGTTCTAGATTCTCTGCGCGCATAAAGAAATAACTTACTCAATACAGGGTACACGATCCTCATCTCATTTCTTTCTTGCTCATATGTTCGCAGTAAACGAGTTGGGGCTCAGCTACTTTGATATCACCACATTGCGTGAATTGGGAGGAAAGAGATTCAATTGATACATCATGCGTTTCTCGCCATTCACCTTGCTACAATACTGCGATAGTAGCCATCATCCCGTGGATAACATATGCAAACCCCCTTCAACATGACGGAACGGCAATTGAAGAAGATACGCCCGCTTGGTAGACATTTCCCCCTACCTTCATAAAGCTGCTGACGAAGAGCGTAGGCAAACTCGAACAGCTCTCAGAAGTCGCCCATCATATAGACTTCTTCACAAATACTGGCCTTTCTGCACACTACGCACCAACACAGGCCTTGCCTGGCTTCGATCTGGAAGAGACCGTCTACGGTGCCTTATCACAAGTCCTCACCCAACATCCGGTTTTGTTTGCGATCCCAGTTATATCGGAAAAGGACGAACCGTATTGGGGACGACTAGCCTCAATCGATCTCGAGAAAGCTGTGTCCTTTGTCGACCGAAGTCAGCCATGTTTGACCGGAGATCAAACAGACGACGAGCTCGATTCGCTGCTTGAACGCCAACACAACACAAACTTCAAGGCTGGATATGGCACTCTACCTGTCTGGAGACTGATAATACTCAAAGACCATGATTTGAGCAAAGGATTCACGACCTCATTCATTGCCCACCATTCGATGACTGATGGAACTGGCCTTCGGATTTTCCATGACTCGTTCCAGAAAGCTCTTTGTGACATTGAGTCCAGTTTCGTAGGTCACCTTGATCGGGTTGTATACTCGAATGATGCGCCGATTGCTCCATCACTCGAGTCGCTTCACCCTCTGCCAATCCCGACGAACGCACCGGCATCTCATGATGCGGAGCTGAATGAGTGGAGAGGGACTCCCATCGCATTACCCTGCGTTACACGTTACAAATCACTCTCGTTTCCATCACATATGATGGGGCACTTTGTGCAAGACTGCAAAAAGCACAGAGTGGCACCAACAGCGGCTCTTCCGTCTCTTGTCGCCAGGTTGCTGTACAACAATCTTCCACTGACAGCTGAGGCTCTTACATGCAACCTTCCAGTAAGCTTACGATCGGACCTACCGCCAAAGCTGGTCGAAGGAATCATGGGTAACTTCATCGATGCCTTCAAAGTCCAGGTTCTTCGCTCCGATTTGGACCAGGTTTCAGATGACTCAAGTACGGGCGCTACTGGGATCTGGAACCATGCTAAGAAGATCCAACAAGCTACTAGAAATTATTTTGCGAATGCCTCACCTTCCGGAGAGCTATATGCAAATGTCGCTGCACTTAAACTTATCCCAGATATTGGCGCAGCCTTGGCCGGATCAATCGGCCATCCTCGCGGAGAATCTTTTGAGGTCTCAAACCTCGGGACCTTTTCACAGGCTAAGAACATCAAGGGAGACGCCAAACTATTATGGCATCGAGGAAAAGTGTTGTTGAGCCGATGCGCATATGCTGGAGGAGCTCCGTTGGTGATTTGCGTACTGAACAACGAGGAGTATGTTGGGTTTGGCTTCACATGGCAGGATGGTTCTATTGAGGAGAGCATTGTCCAGGCTGTGATCGATGGCATCACAACATACTTCAACACTAGGACGTAGGCATCCAACAGTAATAGAGGGGAAAGAAAGGTACCAGCGGTCTCAATTGCCGTGATATCGTCATTTCAGGCATGATGCTTGTACGTGGTCAATTGAAGTTGAATTGCGGCTTCGGTGTCAGGCGTCAAAAACGAATAAGATTTAGCGGCCATGGCGGGCGCATCCCACTGTAACATGCGATCTCGATGCACCTATGCAGGCGAGTTATGTCACTGACCTTTCAGCTATCCTACCTTACTTACTCGCACAAATACATTCAAGACTGCCAATTATCGCAATTTCGGACTGTATCTATTAATTACTGTCTTATCCAGATATTAAGCTTGATGATATGGATAGAGATTATTTCTGTTGTCTTAATAGCCTGGTCCTTATTGACTCCTCTATAGATCCAATCTCACTCACCTCGGTAGTCTCGGCTACAAAACAGCACCTCCTCATTCTTTTCATCCCACCGGCCATGGCATAATATCATTACAATTGCTTACAATATCAGTCTGCGTGTACCTCTATGTCTGAATCGGCTATGCAAACCTTATCAGACCATGCTAAGCAAGGGTCTTAAAGGCGATGCTCGCTGAAAACCTGGTCCGTGTCCAATGGGGATCTTACTCTATTCGGTGCTCCGAAATAAGGTTTGCGGACATGATTCCCTCTTCAGCGTCCTTTTGAATGCGTTCCTGAAACGGCCATTCAAGGGATGAAACAAAACCTTCGATTTCGGTAATTGAGCGCGGGAGTCGGTTGCACAAAGAAGCAGGTTTTCCAGTGCCAATGCTTGGAATCATCAGTGGCACGTTCTGTTCTGGGATAGATTGTAATGACACCTTCTATATCAGTCCCGATCAGGTATTTGCTGAAACTGGGAGGGTATAAGATCGTCTTCATCCCATCAATTCTCTTACGGGTACAGTTTGATCAGCCAAGTTGTCCCATTAGAAAATACAAACATTCATTCATTGTCGTTCATTTTGATCATGCCTAGATTCCAGGCGCTCACCTTAGCTGCTCTCAGTTGTCTGCATGCAACAACTGCATCAGCATACCCACGTCAAGATGCCAGTGTGCGCACAGAATACGATTATATTATTGTTGGTGCTGGAGCTTCAGGCCTCACTGTCGCCAACCGCCTATCGGAGGACCCTGGTGCGTTCTGCCGTTGCATCGGCCGCCCATGTTTGCTGACGCCCCAACAGCTGTGACTGTCCTCGTGATTGAGGCTGGTGACTTGTAAGAGATCTGATAGTTGACCGAAGACGAAATACTGACCTCTACATAGCGATAAAAATGAAGACATCGTGACAATCCCAGGCCTTGCTGGCGGTGCTGTTGGCACAAAGTACGACTGGAACCTTACTTATCCCGCCACCACTTCTCTTAATGGACGCAACGTCTCGATTCCTTTGGGCAAAGTCGTTGGAGGCTCAACCAAACTTAACCGCATGGTCTACGATCGCGGTTCAAAGGCAGACTACGATCGCTGGGCTGAGTTAGGTAACAGCGATTGGCAGTGGGATACCCTGCTTCCTTATTTCAAGAAGGTTGGCAAATTGTTGTCAAGGTCATGCTACAGAGTCTAACTTTAATCGCAGAACGAAAAGTTCACTGGGCCGACTGCCGATATCAAGAAGGAATATAGCATCACCACGGACCCTTCTGCCCACGGCTCTTCGGGTTTCATTCACTCCAGCTACTCGCCTTTCTTCTGGCCCACGACGAGTAAGTGCATCTTTCCTATGTACCATCCGTCAAGCGTACCAATGCTGACAAAACTTCAGAGAATCTTGTTAAGGCCTCTGGGGAGCTCGACATCAACATCGCCTTCGACCAAGCCAACGGTGGCGCAGTTGGAGGATACTTCTGCCCTCACAACCTCAACCCCAAGACTCTTGTCCGCTCCTCTGCACAGGACTACTATAGTGCTGTCTCTCAGCGCAAGAACCTCCAACTTCTTCCAGGCAACCAAGTTACTCGCATTCTCACTAGCAAGAACGGAAGTTCCGTGAGGGCTACTGGTGTCGAGGTAAGCGGTCGCCCTTCTAGAGTAGCTGTTCATGACTAACCATCTTCTTGCAGTTCGCGAAGAACAAGGATAGCGCCAAGAAGACTGTCAAGGCGAAGAAGGAGGTCATCCTTGCGGCTGGAGCCATTCACACTCCTCAGATCCTGCAGGTCTCTGGTATTGGCGACTCGGCTCTCCTCTCCAGCATCGACGTCCCTGTCGTTGTTGATCTTCCCGCTGTTGGCCAGAACTTCCACGATCATGTTCTACTCGCCGTTGTGGGCACAAGTAAGTCTAACCCTTTGTTGACAGAATACAAGAGGCTAATTGTGTTTAGTCAATGCTCCTATTCAAACCGGAAACCTTACTAGCAACGCCACTTTCGCTGCTGAGGCACGCGCTGAATACGACCAGCAGAAGAAGGGACCTTATACTTCACCTACTGGCGACTTCCTTCTGTTCCTCCCTCTCTCCAACTACACAAGTTCCGCTTCGGACATTCACAAGCAAGCCACCAGCCAGGACGGCTCCAAGTTCCTCCCTTCAGGTACACCCGCTGAGGTTGTTAAGGGCTACAAGAAGCAGCAAAAGGTCCTCAACGAGAAGCTCCTTGATACCAAGTCAGCCATCCTGGAGATTATCTGGGCCGATGGAACCTCGGTCCTTGGTCTTCAGCACCCGTATTCTCGAGGCTCCGTTAAGGCCAAGTCTTCCAACATCTTCGACTATCCCGATGCCAACCCAGAGTTCCTTAAGAACCCTCTTGATATCGCCATTCTTACCGAAGGTGTCAAGTTTGTTCGCAAGCTTTCCGGCGCACCCTCAATCAAGACCCTGAACCCCTTCGAGATTGTGCCAGGAGCCAACGTCACAAGTGACAGTGACATTGAACAGTTCATCCGTAGCAGTGCATCCACTCTGTTCCATCCCGCCGGCTCTTGCAAGCTTGGTAGCCGCAGTGACGGCGGTGTCGTTGATGAGAAGCTCAGAGTTTACGGCATTAAGGGCCTTCGCATCGTCGATGCCAGTGTTATTCCTTTGCTTCCTGCCACGCATACTATGACGACTGTTTATGCTGTCGCTGAGAAGGTAAGCTACCAATTAAATTATTTGAAACATATCTCTGACGCATATAGGCTGCCGACTTGATCAAGCGTGGTTAAGTGATGTTGGTGTTCAGAAAGCCCGGGTGGGCAGGAAACGGGACTGAACGCGATTTTTTACCTTGTAGATATTGATTTACCACTCAATGTATAGAAGCTCAACAATTTCATATGTTTCTGCTCGAAAGATTGCCATTGGTATTGAAAGGAAATGCTGCCCTCCTGCTTGCAGTCGCTTCTCTACCTTTCTAGTCGCCGGAACATCAGCGTGCTGACTTTACGCAGATGCACTATGCAGATCTAATGTACTCTTGGCAGCTATAAGACATGCGCTCGCTTTTAATCTTGCTTATAGGACTTTGGCGACGCGTAGTCAGTTACGTATCTTGATGGCAAACAAGTTTCACAGCATATCCCAAGAGGCGGTGTTTCAACAAAACGTCATATCAATGCGACCCCTCAATGGCGATGCTATCTTATTCGCCCCCGACATCGTTTGCTCGATTTGGGGTCTTAGCGTGTGACCACGGTTAGCCACGTCAACGCCGGCATCAACGGATAAGCTCTTTTAAGTCAATTCAGCCAGCCACGTGAGAGGCTTGATGATGCTGACAATATTCATCTGAGGGGTAATTTCATGAATCAAGCATCGTGACCTCAATTTCGTTCAAGTCTCCATTCAATCAATAGCTAGTCAAGATGGACGTCTTTGCGACTTTACCGCCGGAGCTTATCGCGCCGATACTCAGCAATTTACCCGACGTCAGAAGCTTATACAGCGTTGCCAAGGCGTCGCCGCATATCTTTCACTTCCTGAACGGGACGTTGGGAGCCGAGGTTCTCGATAACGTCCTCGATGCATCAGCTCAGAATCTTGCGACAACGCCATGGATCCCGCACGTCCTTCGCCTGGTAGCCCTCATCAGGCATTCTTCCGCGGCAAACCCACCAGCAAGGAACCTCACCACTTTTATCACAAAGTTCATCATGCCGACCTCGACTCAGAATGCCCAAGGAGACCGCGTTCCAGATATTCAATCTAGTCCGCCATCTTGTATCCCACGCATTAGTCTTGCCCATGTAATGCGAGGTGACAATTCCATCACGCCGAGAGAAATGCTGTTCCTCTTCCGGAAGATCAAGTTGCTTGCAGGAGAGGCCTTTGAATTCTTTCATGAGAGAATCAAAGCGACCAAGCCGCAGCATCTGACTGACAAGTGCTACCATCTTGGCACGCTTCCTTGGAATCGACGACCTGATGGCCAATTATGGGGACAGCCATACAAGCTCAACACGGGCGGTGAGGCGTCCTGGTATGAAATGCAGAGAATCACCCTTGGCTTTTGGTGTCTCCAGTTGTGCTATGAGCTCAGTAATGCTGCTTCGGAAAAGCGGCTGAACTGGTCAGACTCAGATATTGAGGCAATCCGTGACATGGGATCCGGCGAGACGTGCTTGTCGGGGCTCAGGAAGTCAAGTCTATGGATCGCCCGAGAACCATTATGGGCTGCTTTACTTTACGTCCGACATTCAGAAGGTTGCTCAGATGAAAGTTCTTGTGTTGGTGATACTGATGTTGTGAATAAGGGTTTGGGTGTTTTCTTCAATACAGGCTTCAAACCAGTGGAGGGGAACCATTTGCATCTCCCCCCTCCAGAGAGAAAAAGTGCAAACTTCGCATGGCCCGACGTTATCCTGAAGCCACCCCCGTTTCCTTGCGTTGACCCAAATGATGCGTTTACCTATCACTGCCACAAAGTTCTAGTTGGATGCAAGGGCTTGAGATGGGCTGGGCCACTTTTATGCCCCAGAGGCACTCCCAGATTGAGTGAGGGTCTGCTATTCCGGCCATTCAGGAGTTTGGGCTTTGGTATCTGGGATGACGAACGATTAGTGACGATGGAAATGCTTGATGACCCCCAGAACAAGAGACCAAGGAGATTTCATGTCTGGTGTCAGGACCAAGTTTTCACTTGGACAAGTCTTTTGAGTAGCGAAGAGAAAGAGGAGTTGAGAGTGTACCAAGAGGCTTTGCAGTTAAGGGAGGAACAGGAATTCGGTGAGTTGATTGTTGGTGCGAACTAGGATGATATTTCTCTTTGGACATGACTATCGGGACCAGCCCCTGACGCGTTACTTGAGCGTATTGAGCATTAGTTCTTGTATGATAATATTAATGAAATTGAAACAGTCTTCTTTGATTCGTGAAGAAAGATTTCAAAAATCCAAAAAGAAGAAACTCGGGTGCAGGGAATCGAATCCTAAGCTTTCAGGCGAAGAAGGTTCAATTGTTTCTTGGGCAAGAAAAATGCGCACGGAGGCCGAGGTATTTAAACCCATTCGAAACAATGCAAAGCCAACGTAGCCGGCTACCTCTCAAGGTTTTGGATCATGCCAGATGATTTTTGAATGGTCGGTAACAACGTTATTGCAGCTTGAGTTGGTACCAAAAAAGCCGCCCCTCTATCACGACAATGTCTTAGTGTGTCCCATCCAGAAGGAAGAGGGTCAAAAGGCAGAACGACCGACTTCCTGGGTTTTTTAGGAATGGATCATCGAAATTCCGACGGCACTCATCACCGACTCACTCTCGTCAATCTTCAATCGAGGGTAGATCCAAAGCTTGTACAACCGCCATCCCTAAAAACAACATACATAGAAGCAAAGACTGTCCACCTATTATCTTCCTGTATCTCATTTGCTACATCACCCTCTTGTCAAGATATAATCCTGAAACTTGAAAACATTCTGTCCTACAATGACCGTCTTTAACATCGACGAGGAGGACAACCTCAACCGCATGCGCCGCGGCGATCTGTACTACGCCTTCACACCCAAATTGGTAGCTGCCCGTAAGCGATGCAGGCAAGCCGTCACTCGACTCAACGCAGCCGAGGACCCAACACGCCGCGAGATGGCCGAATTCTGGAGACAGTGAGCCCAACCCTCATAAAAGACTCACTCATTGTTACTCACATAAGCTCAGGATAACAAACGACGACCGCCCTTTACCTCCACCTGCAGCGACAGAAGATGAGGAGGACAACGTGTTGCACGAATATCCCTGGATCGAAGCACCCATCAGAATCGACTACGGCACGAATATCAAAGTCGGAAGCAATGTTTTTATCAACTTCAACTGCACCATACTAGATACATGCCAAGTAACCATCGGCTCAAGGACGTTGATCGGGCCAAATGTTTCATTCTTCTCCGGTACGCATCCTCTGGATCCTGAGCTGCGTAATGGCACAAATGGGCCAGAACTGGGCGGTACAATCACTGTAGGTGAAGATTGTTGGATCGCGGGTAATGTGACCATTCTTCCGGGTATCACAATCGGTGCTGGTTCCACGGTTGGTGCGGGAAGTGTTGTCACCAAGGTTTGTTGCACTTCGTTCCTTGTGTTACCGTATCTGACATATCCCCAGGACGTACCGCCTTACCATGTGGTTGCTGGAAACCCTGCCAAGATCATTCGTAAGCTTGAACGGAACCCGAACGGAAAGCAATAAGTATAGATCAAGGTCCTGTGTGGCCTGGAGTATGAATATCAATATGACATTTCTCTCGAAGTCATAATATTCTTCGGGCTCTCCGGAACATTGAACCCCCGAGTCAAACAGTGATAGTATTCGAGCTTGTGTGTTATCCACGTAAAGTTTAAAGTCTATATGCATTATAGTATCTTGTAGCTCTGGCACTATGTTTCTTGCGGATCCAACAACGTATCTTACCTATGCGGCTCCGGCGCGGAATCACGTAGCTTGATTCGCCACTACGTCTAAGTCGAAGACTACAGGTATGCAAACGATGATGGATAATTTTTAATGGTGTGATCCGAGTGCATTGCTATGAATTGTTTTCTTCGCGAAACCCATATCCGCTGCAGCGCTTTGCAGCAGTCGTCAGACTTGTGCGTTCTCCCGTGTCCATCGTGCCAACCGAGAGGGAATCATAAAACTCAGCCGTCCTCAATCAAGAAAATGCAGGAACTTATTCTCTCCATCCACCAGAGCCGCTGCCACGGCCGTAGCCACCACCACCGCCGTAGCCGCCGCCGCCGCCGTAACCACCACGGCCACCACCGCGAGCACCACCCTGGTTGGCCTCGCTGACGCGGATCTGACGACCCTCGAACCTGAAATCGTTGCGTTAGAATCATTCCCTGGCATCAAGCGGTGTTGCTGCGTGTGACTCACTCCTGCTCGTTCATGGCATCAATGGCGGCGCTGGCCTCCTCCTGGCTGTTGAAGGTGACGAATCCGAATCCCCTTGATCGGCCAGTCTCACGGTCGGTCATGACAATCTAAAAGAAAATGATGTTAGCATCTCGAAACTCGAGGCGCGCGCGCGAGGGGGTGCTTACGGCGTCAGTGACCTCACCAAATTCGCTGAACTTGGCGCGGAGAGTGTCGCTGGTTGTGGCCCAGGCGAGGCCGCTGGAGACGTCAAATCAGCTGAAATTCATCGTAATCAATGCTTGCGACTTACCCGACAAAGAGTTTGGACATGGTGAGGGACTAGTGTTTTCGACGCGAAAATAGTGACGATTTGAAGGAATATGCAATTGTCAGACGGCGCGGTGCGTTATATAGCCCTCAAGCCACAAGTTTCCCCTCTTTCTTTTCCAGCCGCCCACGTGACTGGGGTAGACTAACGCAGCAGGAGGAGCCTGCACTCACGTTCCAAAGACAGTTGCCTATTATCATGACGTAGTGTCTCAGCCTCCCTATAATCGATCAGGCTTAGCTGATTATCCAGTTTCCCTGATTGATTGTTTTCTTTCGGCATGGTGATTACTTAATTTCTGCTACGTAGAAATGCATTTTTGCGCCTTATTCAAATTTTGTGTGACTTGCTCAAATCGCGACGCTTTTAACACTGCTGTTAGAATACTAACAGATCTTAACTCTCGGATCGAAGCAACAGAGACTGCAGTGGGGACCTCTCTCCCTTGAGTGACCGAAGATCGACGGAGCTGTACAGACCAACAGCCAATCAGATTCTGCCACCGAGAAAAAGGGTCCTGGAGCCCTCACTGATGTGGCTAGTGATGGAGGGGCAAAAGGGTCCAGCGCTAATCTGCAAACACTTCGCCACTATCTATCAGGGTGCAAAAAACGCCCGGCCTGGGCTAGTGGGCGTGTACTCGCGATACGCAAGCTCGATACCCTAGAGCATAATATTCGACAGAGCTGGCGCAGCACCTTGATGATGTGAGAATTGCCTGAAGATTGCGCAATATTTGAGTATCTGACTAAGTATTCTTTAGCTCGGTAGGATACGTGTTTACTCCAAGTAACGCGGTAGAGACTGAATTTCTGAACTATTCCAACTTCCAAAATGTTCAACGGCTTCGCTGACCTCCGCCATCCATGCAGGACTCGCAGAACATGTATTTACGCGCACATCACAGAAGCCCCGTGAAATCAGCATCCTTATAATCAACATCGCGATCAGGCCAAGCACCAAGCTTGGTCAAAAAGTCAACAAAACCACCTTCACCGCCCCAGTAATGCTTCATGAAATTGGTCATCATATCCGTACCATTGAGGAGCGCACCGCTCGTCCATAGTTTCCCGTCTCTGACCCAGCGCTTGGTAACCCAGTTGACCTCTGGAGCTTGTTTCCGGACAGTGTCGATCAACACAATCGGACCAGTCGCTGTTTTGCCGTTCAAGATACCGGCCTGCAGAGGAATAAGGACACCGCCGCAGATGATGAGGAAAGCGGAGCATTCGTCGTAGGCTTTGCGCACGAAGGCAAGCTCGGCTTCGTTGGGGGTGTAGCGAGCAGAGTTCGCGCCCATGAGAACGATATCCAGTGGAGGGCAAGTATCAAAAGAGTCCTTTCCGTATCAGTACAACGGCACAATGTTCAATTGTCAAGCGGACATACCGTAGCCACAAGCTTGATACCGCTTGTCAAGATACAGGGAGAATCAGTCCCCTTCTCAGAAACCCAATGAAATTCCATATCCATTGTCTCCGATTCGAGCTTGGCAGGCGCAACGCCTTCAAAGCTGCTCTTCCATGCATTCTTGGAGAGTCCGTGCAAGAAATCAATGGGAGCGACGTCGAGAATCTCGGTCTCGCTGGAAACATATGAGCAGGGGTTAGTCGAGAGAGCTGATTCTGCTCACTCACCTGTTCATCAGAATGACACCGATGTGAATGGTCCTGTTGGGCTTTGCAAGGTCGAAGGGGACGGACATATTGGTTGTTTCGAGATGGAGGTTGTGATGAATGGATGAGCGATTGTTGTTGCAATTCGTCTTGATCCATAGCGAACTCACTTTTATAGATAGTTGTTCAGCTCAGTTCCCGACCTACGTCGGTCTTGTTGAGATTTATGACCCGCGACATGGATCAAAACCCGCTGCAAATCAGTGAAGTGAAGAGCTACTCAACTGACATCCGAGATGGCACGAACAATTGTGTGTTCTCGCGAAAAGGGCGTTTCAATATTCCTTCCTTCGCCTCGTCATTGGTCAAGAACACCGTTGTCGTTTCGATAAACCGGGTCTAGCCACTTGATATATCCTAACCTCCGAGTGCATTCGGCTCTTCTAATCCGCCACACAGTTGCTACCTTCACAGAAACCAAACATGCAGGCTGCGTTAGCCAACATCGCATTTAGTCAACCCGATAGAAGGAATTTTCTTGTTTTAGGTACGGAGGTAGTTCACATGCTTATTTCTGAATTTTTCGTTTACTAGAAAATAAGTGCTGCATTTTTCGACCATTAAACCCCTGCAGCCTACAAGATAAGGTTGTGAATATTTTGGTTACGACGCTGTCTCGGGTAATTGAAAGGCTGATAACATATTGCCAAAGTTAATTGATTCGTCAGAAGAGTCGTTCAATTGTTGAAGGGGATTCTTCAAAGACAATAGGTGACAAGACATCTTAGTATCTCGGAAGATTTTCCGACAATGAAGAGGTGGAGCCCGATAACAGTATTTCCTCATGGAGTCAGTCAGATCATGCACTGGTGACGCATCATGAGGGCGCTAGTGGATCTTGTGATGACTCGGAAATATTTCCGAATTATATCAAGCAATTGACCAGTATTTCCGAAGCATCGAGTCCTTTTCTCCTCTAATTCCCTATTCAGGTTTGGCTTGTTGAATGAATAGCCGACAATAAGTATCAAGCCAAACCCAAACTTCCCGCGTGCGACTCAAGAGAGCCCAATTGAGGCCTGCTTAACAAAGGCCATGATGGGATTCGGCACACGGCTCCCCCGCTTATTCGGTTATCAAGACTTGGGGTTTCTTTGCAGATCCCGGCAGTGCAGCTGAGGGGAAACATGTCACGTTGGTCATCTTGCGTATAAAAAGCCTACAGAGGGGACGGCAGGTTACCATGTCATTGCAACACAGAGAGTCATCTTTCCCCCGCTTGGACTTGATCTTCACGAGCAACCATGTCTGATCAAGTTATCTACCTCGCTATTATCATCGGCCTGTACGTGCTGTACAAGTTGGCCAATTCGACTGATCAGCCAAAGATCAAGGGTATCCCCGAGATTCCCGGTGTACCACTTTTCGGAAACTTGATTCAGTTGGGGACGGACCATGCTAGAGTTGCGCAGAAATGGGCCAAGAAGTACGGACCTGTCTTTCAGACACGCCTTGGAACCAAGGTGAGAATTCATGCCGCTTTTCGTATTCAAAATATGTTTTGAATATTCAATTCTGACCATCGCAGCGAGTCATCTATGTCAACTCTTATGAGGCCGTAAAGCATTTCTGGATCACGCACCAGTCTGCACTCATCTCCCGCCCCATGTTTCACACTTTCCACTCAGTTGTTTCTTCATCTCAAGGTTTCACTATCGGCACTTCACCATGGGATGAGTCCTGCAAGAACCGCCGCAAAGCTGCCGCCACTGCCCTCAACCGCCCTGCAGTTCAATCTTACATGCCAATTCTCGACCTCGAATCTCTCGTCAGCATCAAGGAACTTCTTGACGATTGCAAGGACGGAAGCAAGGATCTTGACCCATCGCCCTACTTTGCTCGATTTGCGCTCAACACCTCTCTGACTTTGAACTACGGCTTCCGTATTGACGGCGATGTTAACTCTGAGCTTCTCCACGAAATCACCTATGTTGAGCGCGAGATTTCCAACTTCAGATCGACTAGCAACAACTGGCAGGATTACGTTCCGCTGCTTCGACTTTGGGGAGCGCAAAACTCATCGGCTGAGGAATTCAGAGTTCGACGTGACAAGTATCTGTCTGATCTTCTGGCCAATCTCAAGAGTAGAATCGACAACGGTACAGACAAGCCTTGCATCACCGGAAACATTCTGAAGGACCCGACCGCCAAGCTGAACGATGGTGAGTAAGACGCGTCTTGTAAAACAATTTCGCTAACGAACCAACAGCCGAGATCAAGTCTATCTGTCTCACTATGGTTTCTGCGGGTCTAGATACAGTTCCGGGTAACGTGATCATGGGCATCGCATACCTCGCAACCGAACACGGCCAGAAGATTCAAGCCAAGGCCCTGAAGGAGATCTACAAAGTCTACCCCAACGGCGAAGCATGGGAGCGATGCCTCGTGGAAGAGAAGGTTCCATACGTCACAGCCCTCGTCAAAGAGATCTTGCGGTTCTGGACAGTTATTCCCATCTGCCTGCCTCGGGAAAGCATCAAGGATATCCCATACCAGGGTGCCGTGATCCCTGCAG